ATTGATGCTCGCTCCTATTCCACGTCTGAGGCCTGAGGGAACCTCCACGTGAGGGGGAGTGTTGGAATATAAGTGAATTGCCCACCTCTCCCCATCAGCTTAAGCTTTTGGGTTGAATTAGTCAGTGCATGTAATTTAGAGAGGAACAATAGGGCTGACAACCATTGTATATTGATCTCATTGGGTACATATAGTGTACAACAGGGAGGTTGCTCTCCAGGCAACTGATCCTAGGCTAGGTGCGCACGGCGTGCGCGTGTGTGCGTGGGAACGTGGTGACCGCGCCCATTGACTAGCGGTTGGCTAGCCAGTGCATGTACAGACTCAACACATAGTCTCAACAGATACATCAATATTGACAATTCATTAGTTAGTACTCTGAGTTCAGTACCCTGGCAAACGAGGAAACAATTCCACTTTCATGCGTCAAAGGGCACTCTGAGATCAACCACTGCTTTGATTTCTATCGATCTATTCGTGTCTTTTCGTGTGCTAATTTTAGTGAATTGATAAGTTGATATGGCATATATTGATATAATATTGCTCGATGGTTACCTTCGTGAATGCTATGGTGCCCTTAGTGCTGGTCTGCTGGATGATTTGGACAGCAAGGAATGACTTGATCTTCAAAGAGCTGCAACTTAAAGTCCTGGACTGCAAGTTTCTCTTCCTCAAGGAGCTATCGTTCTTTTAGAGTAAAGTCAAGGCTCTCAGCAACCTTTGATCAATGGATACAAAATCTAGTGTAATATGCTATTCGGTTCCTTTTTTTCTTTCTTTGTATCTTGAACTACTGTACTTTAGTGGTTTCTTTTGAGTTTTTATATATAAGTTGTAGCACCTCATGTGGAAAGTTCTTGGTTGATACCAGGAGGCAGGGGCAGAGCTAGAGATTGTCTCCAGCTGGTGTGTCTGGTGGTGAACGAAGGAGAAGATGTAAAGTTGAGCATGTAGCCCGAGGCCCGAAGGCACAGCATGGAGCCCGGTTTTTTGGCCCGGCCGGCCCGGCCCGGTCTCCTCTGGGCCTGTGCCAGACACGACAGGATCCATAAGCCGTGCTTGGGCCACCGCCTCGGCCCGGCCCGCAAACTAGTGGAAGGCCCGGTGGCGGCACGGTGCTTGCCACAGCCCGCTAAAGGCCTATCCCACTCCTCTCTCCACATACCGCGACGGCCGTGACTCCCGCATTCGCGACGTGAGGCGCGTGAGTCGCCTCCGTGGCCCCAAGCGCCGAGCCACCGATGGACCTCCTCCTCACCCCCGTAGCACCGGCCGTCACCTCCTCCTCCACGCCCCCCAAGCGTCCCCCGGCTTCGAGCGAGGCGTCCGGCCTGCTGTTGCTCCTCCTCGGGGGCCCCGGAGTCGCATCTTCCCTGACCCCGAGCGGCCGAGCCGTCGCCGTCGCGAGGAGAAGCGCCATCGCGCCTTGCCCCTCCTCGTCTCCTCGCGCGAAGAGGAGCTCAGGAGCCGCACGTGTCTTCTCCGACCCCGAGCACCCGCCGTCGCCGAGGACGAGTAGCCCCGTCGCCGTCGCGCGAGTCCGGCTTCCAGCCGCCGCCTACTCCTCCACGTCCCCAGCGCGTCCGGCCTCGTCCTCCACGGCTCCGGCCTACTGCTGGTCCTCGGGGGCCTCCCCTTCTCTCTCGGCATTCACGGGCTCCGGGCTTGGCCCGGTCTATCTTTGGGCCCGTGCTTTTCGGGCCAGCCCAGCACGAAAGTCGGCCTGACAGGCGGCCAAGCACGGTGGACTGGGGCGGCATGGCCCGGTGGCATGACGGGCCATAACGTGCTGTGTCCTACCGGGCCGTGCCGGACGGGCGGCACGGCCCATATGCTCATCTTTAAGAAGATGAGAGGATTCGGTCATTTTCTGAGGTCAGCGGTCAACAAACCCAATTTTGGGGCACTATGTGATGGCTCTAGCGCATTGGTCCTCAGAGCTGAGTCAAAATTAAAGAGCCAAGCCTAGTGGAAGAGCGCTGTGTGATGCTGGCAGGCTGGTTGGGGAGGAGCAGCCGAGCAGGGATGCAAGATCGCGGTCATCACATCGTCCAGTCTATTGGGCGAAATATTGCAGTAGTTGTGAACCAATATTGACTACTGCGTCTGCACCACTAATCTGAAGAACACAAGTAATTCTGGCATGTGGCCTTCTGGTGGAAGCTGTGAAGATGGTATGCACCCATTTAGGTGCATGTGAGCTAAATTTGGCAGTATACGCTCTGGTTCTGTACATAGACATTCTGGGAACTATAACAAAAGGGAGACATGTACATTTTAACAAATTTGTGTTTCTGTTTCTCTATAAATGGAAATGGGGTTCGACTTTGCGTTGAAAAAAAAACAAATTTGTGGAGCTGCTAATTGTAGATTATATTTTAACATTTCGGTATCACAGATTCTTCCATGTCTGGGAGGCTGAAACAAGATTATTTGCTGGCATGCAAACTCTGAAAAGGAATAGAGAGGTTGCACAATGACCAGAAACTGGCAAAGCCCAAATATTGAGAACATCATATTATAAAAGAACTTTACTTAGGTGGTTAGCTGACCTGTCTAATTGTAGAGAGATTCATCTGGAAAGATATCCCGATCATCCGTACTATGTGTTGCAACATGAACTCGAACGCCTTGTTCTTCTTCCAGGACACACTTTCTGAACTGCTGTGCGTTTAGGCAGTCAACCATGTACAAGCGTTTCAGTGAGCTTAGGCTCTCTGCCTAATCTAGTTCAGGACAGTCCTGGGCAAACAGGTCCTGCAGCTTGTTGAGGTTGGAGATCCTTCTCAAACATCTGTTATTCTTAACCTTGAGCCACACAACCGCAGGAAGGTTGACAACTTCTTGCAGCTTGTGAGCACCTTCGATGTGAATCCTTTTTAAATTAACAGCTCTATGCAAATGTTCAGGGAGATCTCTTAGTTTTGGGCAATCAAGAAGCAACAGGCGCTTAAGTGAAGGCATCAGAACGAGTTGATCATATTCGGCCTCCATGTCGTTACATAAGTTTCCTATGTTGAGGGACCAACTTTCCATATTGCGCATGCTAATGATGTGGAGCAACTCAAGCTTTGGGAAAAAAAACATTTTGCACTCATCACACCTTTTCCTAGGAGTTTTTCACCGATATTCACTGCTGCATCTGCACCTCTGATCTGAAGAACTGGTAGTTCTTCTCTGTTTCAGCTAAAACCAAACAAATCTCAGATTTTTGCGTCTCCAAGTCTCTCCAGAGGTCCAGCCCGGCTGTTTCAGCCCACTACTACGGCGCACAGGCCCAATTATGCACTTGCTGTCGCTGCCAGGGAAGCTCATGGAGGAGGCTGCCGCGGCGGTCGTAGTAGAAGCGGCGCCCTGCCGCGTGCGAGGGCGAGAACCAAACAAGGGCGGTGGCGAGGAAGAAGAAGGTGGGATGAGACACTACATCTGCTTCAGCGCCATCTCCATCACGGTCTCCTTCACCAACGGCATCTTCGAGAAGCTAGCCGCGGAGGCTGCCAGGCTCGGTCGATAGGCGGCGCATCCAGACCTCTGTCGGCCTCGTCATCCTACCTTGCGACTTGCGAGCTCGCCAGAGTCTCCGTGGGCATCGAGGTCGTCACCAGGTTCTCCTTCTTCTCTTAGGTTGCCTTCCTCTAGCCTCCCGTACATGCAGTGGTAGTATTAGTTGGGTGCTTTTGTTTATTCTGGCTCATTTAAGCAGCAGCCACCGGCAGCAGAAGTGAAGCTGCGAATGAAATCGGATGGACGCTCGGTTAGGAATCCCAAAGTCAATTGGTTTCTGAATTTCTACATCTTGTATTTCTCTCATCTGTGTGCCACAAAGACATATACTCAGTTCGAGCTACAGGCTGCTTTAATTTCTTACATTTACACATAATTAAATTTCTGCAGGAACTGTACTGTTTATGAACCTATAGGCTGTAGTCATTTGAAAATTGAAATGCATATGCTTAATCTTTAAATACAGTCATTTTTTTAATGTTTTGATCCAAAATCAATATGACGATGTGGAGCATAGAGTATGCTATGAATGATATGCCCACTGTTGTGGAGACTCAGAACATTCCATATCTTAAGGGGGTAGATTTCTAATAGTGCAGCTGGCTGCATACATCTACAACATATTCTAATACACCTTCAGCTGTGATCATTGCTCTTGCAAATAACTGCAGCTGGTGCCTTCTCAAGCATTTCTTATCTTAAGAAGGTAAATTTCCCTGTCATTTTACTTTTCCCTTTTACACTCTTATATGATAAAACATACTGATCCAAAAGAGACTTCAATCCTCACATGCATGTGCTTTAGTTGTTACACCAATTTGCGTATATGATCACATGCTACAACAATGATCATTGTTTCAGTTGACAACATATATGCAGTTAGACATGTGCTAGAGCAATGATCACATATTGCCCATGTTTAGCTCTAGATATTCACCGTTGTTTGAAAATTACTGCAAAATCGTTCCTGCTCCATATTCCACGACAAGAGGTCTGGCAAACTTGAGGTATGAATCCCTGATAGCATGCATCTCATTGACAGCATCTTGTATTAGTGTCCTCTCTCTCTAGGTTGTTTTCTTGAGTAGGATACCCCAAGAGCAATGACATGAACCAAATATTTCTCAATTATGTTTCTTGTATTACTGTCATGGGTGCCAGTGTGCAGCCACATTGTCGTATCGGCTATCTCCCAGATTTTATCTAGAAGAGCATCCTCTGAAAACTTATGTAGATCCATTGAACCTCTAAACATATCATCTGTTGGGCTCCTCCCTGTAAAAATCTCGAGCAACAATATGCCAAGGCTATAAACATCACCAAAAGTTGTGATGGATGAAGCTTCACCATACTCTATTATTATGCAAAAGAAAAAAGAAGTATTGATCAGCATGCCATATTTACAGAAGGATTTGGAATATAAAGAAAAAAACATAGCATTTACCAGGAGCAACATAACCAATGGAGCCTCTTATGCCAATTGTGCTATTGGAATTTTACAAAATTTTACTTTCACTTTCTGAAATGACTCTAGCTATGCCAAAATCTCCAACTCGGGCACTCATGTCTTCTGCAAGAAGGATGTTGCTTGGTTTGAGATCACAATGGATGATTGGTGGCTGGCAATGATTATGAAGATAGTCCAGAGCATCCATGATATCAACAACAATATCTAGCCTTTGTGCAAGGCTGAGAGTATTGTCCAAAGTGGCCATCTCAGATTCTATATGGAGCCAACGATTCAAGCTACCATTTGGCATGAACTCAAAAACCAATGCCTTGAAATCATGACCTTGTTCATTGGTGCTTGAGCAGCATGTGATGATCTTCATGAGGCAGCGGTGGCGCACCCTTCTTAGTGCCTCACATTCGGCTACAAAACTTTTAGTAGAGCCTGATTGCTGAAGGTCAAAAACCTTTACAGCTACAACAGTTCCCTCACCTTGAAAAGCACATTTATATACTGTCCCAAAGCTCCCTTTACCAAGCAAATTGGCTTCTGAGAATCCATTGGCTCCATTTGATAATGCATGATAAGAAACTCTTTCATACTGTTCCTCAACCATTGGTGATGCGAATGCGCCCTTCTGCTTTCGTGTTTGCTTCCAGTAGATCAAGTGAACGAGTGCAATAACAATAGCTAATAATAAGAATGCAAAGGTTGTCGCTAGTGCTATTTTAAGGTACTTCAATTTCCTTCTTCTGTTATTTTTCACAGAATCTATCTTGCATGGAACTAAATAAAGCTGGGGTATTCCCCCACAAAGCTTGTTATTTCCGATGATCGACAGGTTAACCAAATTTATGAAAATCCCTTCCTTTGGCACTTCCCCTTGCAGATTATTGAAAGACAAATCCAAATTTGACAAAGATGTCATGTACTGTAGAACTGCGGGGATTGGTCCTGACAGATTGTTGTGTGCTAGGAACAATTGTTCCAGGCTGATAGAGAAAGACCAAGAGGCTTAGATTGCTTGATGTAGAGTTTACAGGAGTATTACATATATAGAGAGAGACTAAGCTAGAGAGTTAAGAGGGGGGAGAATCCCAGGCAGCATGCCGGGAGAGTTCCTAGGCAGCACTGGGTGGAGACCCAAGAGGCAGCCGGTATACAATAAATGATAGAGGAAATAAATACTCTAACACCCCCCGCAGTCGGAACGTCGTTAGAACGAACGTTCAGACTGGAGCGAAAATCCATAAAGACAGAAGAAGGAAGACCCTTGGTGAAGACATCGGCGAACTACGACGTGGTGGGAACGTGAAGTACACGGACAGCCCCAAGATCGACCCGTTCTCGGACGAAGTGAAGGTCGATTTCCACGTGCTTGGTACGCTGATGCTGAAAGGGGTTGGTGGAGAGGTAGACGGCACTGACGTTGTCGCAGTAGACGAGGCAGGCAGTTTCCAGAGGATGATGTAGTTCCTGCAGAAGTTGCCGCAGCTAGGAGGCTTCGGCGACACCGTTGGCAACTACTCGGTATTCGGCCTCGGCGCTCGACCGTGAAACAGTGGGTTGGCGTTTGGATGACCAGGAGATGAGGCTGCCACTGAGGAAAACAGCATAGCCGGAGGTGGATCGTCGGGTGTCAGGGCAGCCAGCCCAGTTAGCGCCGGTGTAGATGATGAGCTGAGTTGGGGTGGAGCGGGGAATGACAAGACCAAAACTGATAGTGCCCTGAAGGTAGCGAAGAATCCTCTTGGCAGCAACAAGATGAACTTCCCGAGGATCATGCATGTGTAGGCAGATTTGTTGAACAGCGTACGTGATGTCAGGCCGGGTGAAAGTGAGGTACTGGAGAGCACCTGCAAGGCTGCGATATGCTGTAGGATCAGCAACAGAAGGGCCAGCATCAGTAGAAACTTTGGCACAAGTGTCAACAGGAGTGGAACAGGGCTTGCAGTCGCTCATGCCATGGCGAGCAAGAATATCCAGAGTGTACTGACGCTGTGAGAGGAAGAGAAGGTCTTGTCGTCGCTGAACTGCTACGCCAAGAAAATGGTTTAGGGAACCCAGATCCTTCATGGCAAATTCCTTCAGTGCATCAATCACCCGGTATAAGAACGGTTGAGAGGAGGCTGTAACAACAATGTCATCCACATATAGGAGCAAATAGACTGTCTCGGTGCCGCGGTGATAGATGAACAGGGAGGTGTCAAACTTAGCTTCAGTGAAACCCAGAGATAGCAAATAAGAAGCAAACCGGCTATACCATGCTCGCGGTGCCTGCTTCAAACCGTAGAGGGACTTATTGAGCATGCAGACGTGGTCGAGAAGAGCAGAATCGGCAAAACCAGTGCGCTGAGAGCAGTATACTGTTTCTGACAGAGTCCCATGAAGGAAAGCATTCTTAACATCAAGTTGATGGATCGGCCAGTCCCGGGAGTGAGCCAGAGTGAGGACGGTGCGAACGGTAGCGGGCTTGACGACGGGACTGAAAGTCTCATCGTAATCGATTCCGGGGCGTTGTGTGAACCCACGGAGGACCCATCGAGCCTTGTATCTATCCAAGGAACCATCAACATGAAACTTGTGTTTGAAGATCCATTTCCCTATGACCACATTTGCCTTGGCTGGCCGAGCAACGAGATCCCAAGTGTGGTTCTCCAGGAGGGCAGTGAATTCTTCTTCCATGGCCTGACGCCAGTGCGGATTAGCAAGAGCATCACGGCAGGAACGCGAAAGTGGGGACAGAGCCTCGGTGTGTAGAGCAAGACGAGGCTGCTTGTATCCGGACTTCTCGCGAGTCGCCATGCCATGAGAATTGGCAAGTGGCGGGATGGTGACCGCCCCTGCTGGTAGTGAAGAACCGCTCTTGACGTAGCGTGGTGGAGAGGGAATCATGCCAGAGCATCGAGGAGGAGCCCCATCGTGGACCTCGGTGGTGAGCTGGGTGTGGGGGCACGCCGTGTGTAGACGTGGACGACGGGCGGCTTGCTGAAGGAAGGAGCCGAGGGCGCCAGTACAGGGGGCGCCGTGGGCACCGGTACAGGAGGCACCGTGGGCGCCTGGACAACGGGCGCTGGTGTAGGGGATACCAGGGGCGCGGTGAAGCCAGGTGGAGGAGACCACGGCGCTGGTGTGCCTGATCCTGGCGCTGGGGTACCTGAAGATGCCGGCGGGGAGGGAGCCCACAGAGATGCAGGTGCTGACGGATTGGCAGCAACGTGAGGGGTTCCTGCAGGTGGAAAAGGGACTAACAGAGGATCGTCATCAGTTAGAAAGTCTAGTTCGTGTGTGGGTGGTGAGGGCCGGCGAAGTGAGAAGGGAAACGTTGTTTCGTCGAAAACAACATGGCGAGAGATGATGACACGGTTTGTGGCAAGGTCGAGGCACCTGTAACCTTTGTGGTCGGGAGAGTAGCCAATGAAAACACATAAGGAAGAGCGCGGGGCAAGTTTGTGAGGAGTAGTAGCGGTGAGATTAGGGTAGCAAGTGCATCCGAAAGCCCAGAGACCATGATAAGAAGGGTGAGTGCCATAGAGGGCGAAGAAGGGAGTGCTCATGTTCAGCGTTTTGGTGGGGAGGCGATTTATGAGGTGAGTGGCAGTAGCAAGGGCATCGGCCCAGTAGAAGGGGGGCATGGATGCTTGGAAGAGCAAGGTGCGGGTGACAGTGTTGGTGGTGCGAAGCATGCGTTCGGCTTTGCCATTTTGTTGCGAGGTGTAGGGACATGACATGCGAAGGGAAACACCTTTGGTAAGAAAGAAAGCGCGAGAGGTGGAGTTGTCAAACTCACGACCGTTGTCACATTGCATGGATTTGATGGTACAACCAAATTGAGTGTGCACATAGGCGAAGAAATTGGAGAGGATAGTAAAAGTCTCGGACTTTAATCGAAGAGGAAAAGTCCAAAGGAAATGAGAGCAATCATCGAGAATAACGAGATAGTATTTAAAGCCGGATACACTGATAATAGGGGAGGTCCACAGATCACAATGTATCAGATCAAAAGGTTTGGGTGCTCTAGACAAGGAACTAGCAAAAGGCAAGTGAACATGGCGCCCAAGCTGACAAGCATGGTAGATGGAGTCTTCTGTGGACTTGCTGCAGAAAATGGAAGATGACTGAGCGAGACGCTGAAGGGCAGCCTTGCCGGGGTGGCCGAGACGATGATGCCAGGTAGTTGGAGAAGGAGTGGCCACAAGAGCACAAGTATCAGTAGGTGACGACGGGAGCTGCAAGGTGTAGAGCGGCCCTGAGCTGTTACATCGAAGGAGGATGTTCCTGGTACGGAGATCCTTCACAGAGACACCAAGAGGGTCAAATTCCACAGAAACAAAATTGTCAGTGGTGAATTGACGAATGGAAAGCAGATTTTTAATGATGTCAGGAGCTAGAAGGACATTGTTGAGACGGAAAGGGCCAGAAAGGGTGGAATATCCGGTGCCAACAACCGGGAGAGTAGCACCGTTTCCCACAACAATGGAGGAAGGAAAAGAGGAGGATGGAGAAACGGTAACCATACCAGGGTTAGAGGCAATGTGAGACGAGGCACTCGAGTCGATCACCTAGTCCGAGGAGTTCGGAGGCGGGGTGAGGGTGACGGTGCTAAAGGCGTTGGCGAGGGACTGTTGGTCCCATGGTGACCAAATTGGGGGCGTCGGAGGTGGTACTGGCGTCCAGGCAGGAGGGGGTGCCTGGGTGGGCGCTTGGTGGCATGTCCCCTGAGTCAAAGGGTAGAAAGTTGGAGGCACGCCGGCCACCAAAGCATGCTGCTGCAGCGGTGGCGATGCAGATGGTCCAGGACGGGGAGGTGGACCGCGAGAACCGCCGGGAGTTGACCCAGGCCACATGTGGATGGACCTTGTCCATGGATTGAGGAGGGAGGGCCACTAGGAACCGCCTGGGAAGCCACTGGTCGAGCCTCCTTGGCCACGGCCGCCATGGCGACGCCGGCCACGGCCACTGCCATTGCCAGACAAGCCCCCCCAGCGTGCTGTTGAGGGCGTGGGTTTGCAAACCCAGAGGCCGGCGGGGAGGCAGGTGGCTTGCTGAACGAAGAGGCGATGAGGGCCAATGGAGGCGCTGAAGGAGGTGCCATGTTGAGCTCGGCCAGGCGCAGGTCGGCGCGGACGTCCGCAAAGGAAGGAAACGGCTTCTGGCATGTGATGAACTGCGACATGAACTGCAAACGTTCATTGAGGCCGTGCATGATGTTGAGCACCAGAGTACGGTCATGGACTAGCTCACCTAGATCAGCAAGGGCATCAGCCATGCCCTTCATCTTGCGGCAATAGGCGTCGATGGAGAGAGCACCTTGGGAGAGGGTGCGGAACTCAGCATCAAGGAGCATGGCGCGTGACTCGCGATTGTTGAGGAACTGTTGTTCGATACCGAGCAACGTAGCCCGAGCGGAGACGCCGTCACACTCGTGGATGACGTCCAGAAGGTCGGTGGAGATGGTGTTGAAGATCCAGGAGATGACCACGCAGTCCATGCGGGACCATGCTGGGTCGGTGACTCGAGAGTTGTCACTGAGGACGTGATCCTTCAGCACGAAGCGGCCGAGGATGAGGAGGACGTAGCCGCGCCACTTGGAGTAGTTGGAGGACTAGAGGTCCAGAACAATCGGAATCAAATTCTTGATGTTCTGGACAACAGCAGCCTGGCTGTGCAGATGAACGATGGTTGCGGTGTCGGAGGAGAAAGAGTGATCGCCGCCATCCTGAGAGTCATCGTCGTGGAGGGAGACCGGGCGGAGACGGTCCTGGAGTGCAGCGGCCTGCTGTTCCAGAGCGTCGGCCTACGCGCGCTCCTTCTCGAGGGCATCTGCAGCGGCACGGACGCGATCCTGCGTGGCAGCAGTAGACTTGAGGAGGTCAGCCTCCGTCTGAAGCTGCTGGCTACGGTCGGTGTTGGTGGAGTGCAGTGAGG